TTTTGGATATTTCTCATTTTCATTTTCCCTTGATTAATTTTGAATTGAAAGTGAATAAGTTAACAAATCTGAAGAAACAAAAAAGTCAAAAAGAAGGACGTGTATGGATGTCCAAAAAAAACTATAAAGATTTAAGATCAAACTGATTGACTTTCTTCCAAGCCAACTTTTATATATATAAGGTTCGGGAAATGTTACGGTTCTATTACGGAATCGTTCAGTCGAGATTTGTAATCGTTAGATCATCGTGAAACCGTCAGATATAGTTGATCTAGCAGTTACAAATCCCGATGGAATGGTTTCGTAACAAAACCGTAGCATTTCTCGTAAGATTCATAATATTAATAAATATTGTTAGAATATCACTTGTGAGTCGTGTCACATTGATTTGATAGGGTGAATAAACCTAGTTTATAAGCCTAGTGGCTACTCCTCCCATCACCAAATGGTTTTGGGATGGAACCTCACTTGAGCTTCATCTAGGTTTTTTTTGTTCATGGTGCGCTTCACGTGCGCGAGACCACACTCTTTTTTCTTTCGTTTCATACAAATACTAGCAAAACTAAAAAGTAATGTTATAGGTACATAATATTGTACATAGTGGTGCACATAACACTCACATTTAGTGAGATCTATCAAAATTAAATTAAAAAATCAAACGGACCTCACTCCATGTGAGCGTTATGTACACTTGTTTTATTATGTATTTCTAACATTTTTCATAACTAAATACGTATTCAGCAAAATTAGATAAAATGGAATCTTAATTGTTTGGTGCAAACTGCAAAGTGACAAAATTAAATAAGGGTATGCTACTTTTCTCTCTCTTTTATTTATTTATTTATATTTATTTATTTTGAGTAATGGTTTGAGTTGAAACCAAAACCTCAAGATAAGGCGATTCATTAATTTTAAGATAACATAGGCCCACAACCATGTTGGGTTTTACCTTTTTGCTTTTTAAAAAACTAGTACTAATAACCCAAGAGCGTTTGGATGAGATGGTTTGGGTCTCTTCCAGCTTAATCAGTGATCTCGTGTTCGAGCCTTGGGAATGCCGTAGTGTTAAAACTCTTGAGGGAGAGCTTTGCCGCCCTTGTGGTCCTACCCAACTCGATTCCGGATTAGTCGGTTCTCATGTGGATCAGGAAACCGGAAGGTCCCTGTACCAAAAAAAAAAAAAACTAGTACTAATACCATGTATAACATGGGTGTTGAGTTAATGAATATATGTGTAAAGTTATTTATGTCTAATATCAAACCTAATTTTAGAGCAAAAATAATATAAAAACAACATCACGAAGCATAGATTTTCGCCATGTCATCATTCGAAACGTGAAAATCTGATACCTAGGTTTAACACGTTTTGAATTAATATATAGGGAGAGATTAGCAATAAATTAATTAAATGGATTAAAATATGTTGCCAATTGCTCCGTTATCTTACAACTGCTTAATTATGTTCATATTATGAGTAAATACAAATTAATTATGTCATGTCAGAAGATCTGAAGCAAAAAAGGCGATCGATCACAAGAATTCTAAACAAATAAATTGTGGAGCTTTTGACTGAAAACAATGGAAATTTTAGAAGAAAA